TAGAATAGAATAGAATAGAATAGAATAGAATAGAATAGAATAGAATAACAGAGTTGGAAGGGACCTTGGAGGTCTTCTAGTCCAACTCCCTGCCTAGGCAGGAAACCTTACACCACTTCAGACAAATGGTTATCCAACATCTTTTTTAAAACTTCCAGTATTGGAGCATTCACAACTTCTGGAGGCAAGTTGTTCCACTGATTAATTGTTTTAACTGTCAGGAAATTTCTCCGTAGTTCTAAGTTGCTTCTCTCCTTGATTAGTTGATTAATTTCCACCCATTGCTTCTTGTCCTGTCCTCGGGTGCTTTGGAGAATACCTTGACTCCCTCTTCTTTATGGCAGCCCCTGAGATATTGGAACACTGCTATCATATCTCCCCTAGTCCTTCTTTTCATTAGACTAGACATACCCAGTTCCTGCAACTGTTCTTCATACGTTTTAGCCTCCAGTCCCCTAATCATCTTTGTTGCTCTTCTCTGCACTCTTTCTAGAGGCTCAACATCTTTTTTACATCGTGACGACCAAAACTGAATGCAGTATTCCAAGTGTGGCCTGACCAAGGCATTCATAAAGTGATATTAACACTTCACATGATCTTGATTCTATCCCTCTGTTTATGCAGCCTAGAACTGTATTGGCTTTTTGGGCAGCTGCTGCACAGTGCTGGCTCATATTTAAATGGTTGTCCACTAGGACTCCAAGATCCCTCTCACAGTTACTACTATTGAGCAAGGTACCACATATGCTGTACCTGTGCATTTGTTTTTTCTTGCCTAAATGGAGAACCTTACTTTTTTCACCATTGATTTCATTTTGTTAGATAGCACCCAATGTTCAAGTCTGTCAAGATCCTTCTGTATCTTAAGCCTATCTTCTGGAGTGTTGGCTATTCCTGCCAGCTTGGTGTCGTCTGCAAATTTGATGAGTTCCCCATCCTTGTCCAAGTCATTGATGAAGAGTTGAAGAGTATTGGGCCTAAAACAGATCCTTGGGGTACTCCACTGCATACTTCCCTCCATGTAGATGCAGTTCCATTGAGAACTACATGTTGAGTGCAGTTGGTCAGCCAGTTCCAAATCCATCTATTGTCTAACCCACATTTTTCTACTTTATCTAGTAGTAGGTTACAGTCTACTTTATCAAATGCCTTACTGAAGTCCAAGTAAATTATATCAACAGCATTCCTCTGGTCAGCTAATTTTATCACTTTGTCAAAGAATGCAATAAGATTAGCCTAGCATGATCTGTTTTTAACAGAACCCATGTTGGCTTTTGGTGATTACTTTGTTTGCTTCTAGGTGTTCGCTGATTTGTTGCTTATCTTTTCCAGAATCTTCCCTGGTATTGAGGCCAAGCTGATAGGTCTATAGTTTCCTGGATCTATTTTCTTTCCTTTTTTGAAGATGGGAACTACATTAGCTCTTTTCCAGTTCTCTGGCAGATCCCCAGTGCTCCAGATCTTTGAAAGATATAGTGGTTCTGAGATCTCATCTGCCAGTTCCTTCAGAACCTTGTGGTGTAATCCATCTGGTCCTGGTGATTTGAACTCATCTAGGGTAGACAGGTGTTCACTTACCATTTTCTTCCCTGTTTTAACTTGTGTTCCTATTCTGTTCTTTGTGGTGCTGTTTTTGATAGGTTGGACTGTTTTTTTCCCTTTGTGTAAAGACAGATTCAAAAACCGAGTTAAGTAGTTCTGCTTTCTTTCTCCCTGTTGCTTGTCACCTTCTTACCACTTTCTCCCAGCAATGGACCAATTGTTTCCTTGACTTTTTTTCTTGTTTTTAACATGTTGGAAGCAGCTTTTTAATTATTTTTTACTTTTGTTGCAAGCCTTTGTTCATTGCGAGCCTTAGCTTTCCTCACTTCATCTTTACAGGCTCGGGCTATTTCCTGATATTCTGCCTTAGTTATTTGCCCCCCTTTCCACTTTTTATACTTCTCCTTTTTGTCTTTCAATTTGTCAGAGAGTTCTTTATGCAGCCATGCTGGCTTCTTTCGAGAGCTGTTATTTTTCTTCTTCATTGGTATTGTGCTAGACTGGGCTTTATAATCTCACTTTTCAAAATTTCCCAAGCTTCTTAAGTTGTTTTCCCCTTGAGGATTCTCATCCATGGAATCCTTCCCAAGCTCTCTCTACCTCTATTGAAATTAGCTCTCTTAAAGTCTAAGACTCTAGTTTTACTTGTTCTACTACTTGTGCTTGCATAATGTTGAAATCCAATATTGCATGATCACTTGCCCCCAGGGTTCCTGTAGCTTCAACACCTTCTATCATTTCATCTCTGTTAGTGAGAATTAAACTGGTTAATGGATAAAACAAATCAGGATTTAATACATAAAAACCTGCTTGAGATTTTTTTAGTCCATCAACACAATTTAAGAATTAAAATTATTGAATTTAAGCAATTTAATGGGAGTAGTGTATACATGAGATAAGAGAAGGGAAGGAAAAAAGCACTTGCTCATTGTAACAATCTTTCACTGCTGAAAAACACCACATAAAAATTATAATTTGTGTTCCTTGGAGCGAATCCTAAACTTTATCAAAGAATTCAGTTTATATTTTTACACAAACTTACGGGTCCATCAATTTTTTGTTATGGTCATGTCCAACTTAAGGGTGAGATACAACAATAATTAAAAAAAATAAAAAATAAAATAAAAAGTATACAAGATAAAAAACATAAAAATGCATTTTAAAAAGCTAACGTATGCTTGTGTACACACACACAAGTTTTAAAAAATCTATAGGGAGGTGTCAGAACATTAGATAAATACAAAAACATAAAAGTTATATATTAGCCATAATACATAGTATATGGCTACATATACTACTACACATAATACATAGTATATGGCTAATTCAATTGATCGTAATGCAAAACACTCTTAACTAATAATGTAAATCTCAATAAGGTTAACATGAGGCATAGGTCATCATCTGATGAATTTTAAGAGATGCTATGCAACTTGACAATACTGTAACTTATTGCTATTTTCAATTAACTTGAGTCTGGGCATGTATAGTAGATACTGAGTATTCTTAGTTTGAGCTGATCATAGTTATCCTGCCTAGGAATTACCATCTTGATTTAATATCTGTAGTATCCCTGACAATAATGCCAGCTGGGGTAAGACTTTGTAATAGGGTTAGTAACAACATAGTAACAGCACAAAAGGAAAGATAAAGCTAAAAGTATAAAAAGAAGTGACGGAAATGGGGTTTTGAAAGCATGAAGGGAACCAATCCACATAGGAGGAGAAACTCCAATACATAAAAGATGGCACTGAAAAAACCATTTTCACTGGAGTAAGGAATAAAATTGGTTTGGTGAGGCCAGAACTGTTCCCAGACTAAAAAAAAAAAACTGTTTATAGCAACATGGATCAGGTATCAAAGGTGGGATGTAAAAGTGCAATGAAAAAGACAAAAATTTAAACCTTGAGTAAAGTTCTGTATCAGGGCTTTCATGTCTGTGTACTGCAGTGGAATTATATTATGTATTTATATGACTTCACTCCTGTCTGCGCTAAAGAGGCTAACCTTTCTGAGTCATGTCTGTGAGCCTTTTACCAAGTGGGCCAAGGCCTTAATAAGGATTAAGTGGAGGGAGTTAGGATTTACAGCCAGGCTGCTGTGAACCTTGACAGTTGCCAAGATAATTTGAAGATGTAAGTGAAATGTCTGGACTTGTTTAGGTGCCTGATTATGAGTTTTGAGATTGGAAGATTCTCCTATACTTACCAAGGAACCATAGGTAAGAGCACCACACTCTTCACAACTAGATCTGAAGATGATCACGTTACCAGACCAAAACCACAAGGAAGTCTCAGAGGGCATGGAAGCAGGGAGGAGGGAGGGAGTGGAGTCAAGAAGGACAAGATGAGAAAAGCAACGTTCCACTGCCACAGGGCAAGCGCCATCCTTTTTGGGCTTAGTGCTTTTTGCACTAATGGTGCACACACACACACACGAAAGTGCTAAAGTTCGTACTGCAATGCTGCTTTCATTATTTTCACAAAGCCCTTACTCCCTCCCTTCTCCTTCCCCCGCCATGTGTATGCCTCTGCTAGATACGACTATTGAAAGAGGAGCTTCTTATTGGGTTGTACACATTCACCTGGAGCACAGAATATTAAAAACATTAATCAGGAAAAATCTGATGGAATGGAGCATTTATAAGCTGGATGTTTTAGGAATAAGTGGACTGAAATGGACCATTTTAAATTAGAGTATATGATATCCCACTCAAAACCATATGTAGGAGAGGACCCCCAAAAAGCACATCACACAGTATGGGCCTGGCTGAGCAATTAAGAAGATTGTCTCTATTAAAAATAATAGGTAGCAGATTAACATCAATAATGTTCATACAAAGATATGCACCAACTACAGATGCAACTATGAAAAAGGTTGGAAGAGGTTCAGCTTTTATTTTTAGGAAAAAAATTATTAATTAGAAAAAATGATATTTCACAGAATATATAGCTCTGAAGTCAAAACAGTTGAAAATATTCTGCTTTTCTTCTTTCAGGTCCAGGAATTTCATCCTATGCTAATGCTGTGGAAAATGCCAGTGTCCCTCTAAAGCACTGTATGGATTCAGCAAAGGAGATTGTGCCACAGGGAAAGCATCAGGAGACGCCTGTTTACTTAGGGGCAACAGCTGGCATGCGGCTGCTGAGGTATCCTAGAGAAAGCAGCCTGCACCTTTTTTTTAATGTTTCATAGGAATGAGCTCAGAGAAAAACAGGCTTTTAAATGTTTATTTGGATTTGAAACGATAGGCATTTTTTATCAGTTTCCCATGGGATGCTTGTATTTTGCTAACCCGCTGTTTGTGTATTTGGTTACGTGTGAATCTATTTCAGTGTCCAATTATATAAATAAAGGGCAGTTCAGTTTAGCATATATTTCTGGATCTAGCACAACAATGTTGCATGCATTCCTGTTTTCCCATATCCTTTCAGTTTCATTGGTTTTGTGGGTTTAGCTCACAAAAACCAGTGAGGGTCGGAACAGAAGATATTTCTCATATTTAAACTTTGATATCTAGAATTCTGCCATAAGCCACTGCTAAATAAGGGCGTGCCATTGTTTGAGGCACTTGTTCCGCAAACCGCTTGCCTTCTTTCTATGCCAGTGTTGCCATAGTCAATAAAGGCCTTGACAACAACCTTTTGGGGTGACTCCTACCTATAGTTCATATTCAGAAAACAGAGAATTGTTTGTAAATTCTTTTCTATGTTACATTAAGAACACCATATGAAAGTAATCGGGAAAAGGCTGAAGGTTTTAAAGGAACAATAGACCAAATGAGTCTTTCTCCTTTTCCCATCTTTTAAAAATTCATTTTGGATAATAAGTATCTTATTCTCTCACCATTTTCCAGAATGCATTTTCAAGAAGAAAAAAATATGAGGACTGTTCCTAAGGAATCCTATATATTTCCCCCTTCTTTTTACATGCAGTTTGAAAAATAAGGATGCTGCTAGGAAGCTTCTCTCTGAGGTGGAGGAAACATTGCGTATATATCCCTTCAAGTTCCAGGGCGCCAGGATTCTCAGTGGTGAAGAAGAAGGTGCTTATGGCTGGATCACCCTGAATTACTTACTGGGCAAATTTGCAGAGGTAATACGACATGTCAGAAAGGAAGTGATGACCAGGAATTCTCACTTGATTTGGTTTCCTGAGAGTCCTTTTGTTCTTCAATTCTATTCAAAGCTGTAGGAGGCTACCAGACATTAAAATGAAATATAATCTAACAAATCCCAGCGAAAGGGTTGAATGGGGGTACTGACCCCAATCCCATATTACAGCATGATTGTTAGAGAGTTTTCCACTTCAGCTTCAACTGATATAGCAAATGGCCTAGAATTTAGTAATTTGTTCCATTGTTCTTACACTTACAAAGTTTGCATAACAATCCATTGGAATTTGCCATTCTAAAATGTAAGATCTTTATTCTAAGTTCTTCATTCAGGGAAAATAGAGAAAAGTGGCTGACTGTGTGATATTGCTTTCATTTTTGTGCTGTTGTAGTCCTCCCCCCGCCCCCGGTCTGGCTGTTATATCTCTCAGTAACTCTCCTATTTGTTCTTCTTGCAGTCTATCTGGCCAAAAGTATTTGCCCATTCAAGTAGGACAACAGGAGCACTGGATCTTGGAGGAGCATCTACACAGATTACCTTTGTACCTGATCCAGATAAGATTGAATTAACAACAGATATAATAAATTTCCATCTCTATGGCAAGGAGTACAGAGTATATACACATAGCTTCTTATGTTATGGGAAGGACCAAGCTCTTCGCCTCAAGCTGTTACAAGATGTTGTTGTAAGTAATGAGTATCAATCTTTTCCTTAGATGGTGCTTGCTTATCCAATAGTTTGCTTCCTTTAATACAGATAGTCCTTGACTTAACAACTACATTTGGGACCAGAAGTTCTTATGCAATGTGGTTGTTAAAAGAGTTGCACCCTACTTTACAACCTCTCTATTTTGGTTGTTAAACAAATCACTGCAGCTATTAAGCAAATTTTGCTTACCCCATTGACTTTGCTTGTCAAAAGCTAGCTGGGAAGATTGCAAATGATGATCACGTGTCCCCAGGACACTGCAACCATCACAAATAAGTATCCGTTGCCAAACCCCTGAATTTTGATCGCGTAACTGTGTGGAAGCTGCAATGGTCACAAGTTAAAGGACCAGCTGTAAGTCACTTTTTTCAATGCCACTATAACTTCAAACAGTTTCTAAATGAATGTTCAAGGACTGCATGTAATGCAATTATGTTGTAATTCCTGAACCTTTATACAATGAGATTTTGACTGCTCTGGAAACTTCCATCTTATCCTCAGAAAATAAGACTTATTAAGCATAAATGGGAAGTGAGGCAGGACTAGCCATCAGATCAGAGAATCTAACTTACAAAACCTCAGAATTCTGATCTTGCCAATTGTACTCCCTCCCTCCCATAAGAGGGAGTACAACAGGATAGGATCCAATGAAAGCACATCATCGTGATACAAACTTGATACTTGTGGGATGTCACAGTGCATTACAAATGGGGTAGAGCTTGTGTAACAATACAAAGCTGCTTTTGTAATTTGCCCCCTCTTGAGCCTCTCTGCAAATACCTTACCTTCTAACTAGCTGAAGCTAGCAATAGCATAGCAATAGCATTTAGACTTATATACCACTTCACAGTGCTTTACAGCCCTCTCTAAGCAGTTTACAGAGTCGGCATATTGCCCCGAACAATCTGGGTCCTCGTTTTACCCACCTCAGAACGATGGAAGGCTGAGTCAATCTTGGGCCTGGTGAGATTAGAACTGCCAAATCCAGGCAAGCAGCAGGCAGCAGAAGTAGTCTGCAGTGCTGCACTCTAACCACTGCACCACTGTGGCTCTTAAGCAAGTGTGCCCTTTTCTCCTGTCAAACTGTGAAATAGAACATACCAGTGCATATTGTGTTATATACAATAATTGGGATTGTAAGAGAAAAGCACACCACAGCCGTGTCAGACAATATTCCTGCGAACACTAGGTATTTTGTGAATTGGAAAAAAACTGGATAGCAACTTCTGCTGCTAATTATTCTCATATCTTTTTATTTGCACCATAATCACATTATACCACTAATGCAGCTTTTCCTTGTCTGATGCCATTTAGCTATATTGATCTACAATTTTCATCATCTCAGTCAATAGTTGGATATGTACTACATATGGAGAGTATGGGAAAACTCCCTACAGAATCAAGATTCAGAGGACTCATCTAAAATTAATTGAACATATTTTATGTCCCTTTTTACTTTTACTATTTGGCTCAGCTCAACAGTAATTTGAATTTAAAGTAAAAGGCACAAACAAATGTTGACTTTGAGATGCTTATTCTTAGATTAAGAGTTTATGACTTCATCTCAGTTTAATATTGTATTAAATCTTGAGGGTCATTTTCTTAATTTTTAATGTAATCCACTCAGAGTTGCCTAAAATGAGACACGGGTAGCAAATTCGATAAGTAAATACACAAACAAACAAACATTTGTTGAAACACTGAATGTGAGAATATGTACACAGTGGATTGTAATAATTTTTCTTCCTAAAGTATTTCCTTCATTTCATCTTTGTGTATGTTTGTTATTTTTAAAAAAAATGAAATACATATATAAAATATATAAGGATTCAAGGGTATAAATGTAGATTCAAGGCAAGCATTTCTTTTCTGACCTAGGCCTCACTGTGCCACAGGCCAGGACTGTGGCTGGAGTTATGCATAATAGTGCATTTGCATACTTTGGTTTATTTGGTTTTGGCTTAATAAGATTTTTTTTCCAATCCAATCACTGTGGAATGTAAGCTATGGTATATGGTTTAATGTGATAAGTGAATGTTCTGGGGCTCATGTGATTGTTGATGAATTTTAAAACTTTTTTAGTCTTCAACAACTGACAAACTCCAGGACCCATGTTTCCACCAAGGATATGTGAGGACATTTAATGTCTTTGATCTGACCACAAATCCCTGTACAGCACGTAACATCACTGCACCGTATTCTCAGATCCAAATCCAAGGTGATGGGAATTATGAAAAATGCTTAGAAAGCATCCAGAGAATCTTTAATACTGAAGACTGTCTTTACTCCAACTGCTCATTCAAGGGCATTTTCTTGCCTGAGGTGTCTGGAGAATTTGGGGTGAGTCTTTTTAACACATTGACAGCTTGGCAATGAACTAAAAGATTTCTGTGATCTCTTTCTTGTTTTAAAATTGTTAACCCTATTATCTTCAGCAGTAATCTTCAGCCAGGTTTGAACTGCAAAAATAGAAGCACTGACAAATCAGTCTAATCAAATTGCTGTCATAAATGGCACCTGTAACAAATTGAGGATATAAAAATGACCACAGGTCCATGTTGATTACATGTGATTACATACCGCTATCACAAAGGCTGATGTGAGTTCATAAATCATGGCATTTATGTGATGGCATCATTACAAAAGTATTGTTGTTTGTCCCTGTTTGATGCCAGCTTCTGTCCTGTTATAGCATGAGCCAACAGAGCTTTGGAAGTGGCGGATGATCTATCACTGTGCTCTCTTTCATGAGGTAGCTGCTCTGCCTCCATTTTTTATTGTTAACAAGTGATTTCTGTTTGCAAATAAAGTGCTATGTGTACTTGTTCACATAAAGCAATAGGAGAAACTCCTGGGTTGTTGGTTTTTTTACATGTAGTATTGAATTGGAACTCCCAGCCATGAACAGAAGAAGCATAGCTTAGCGGTAGAGTCGCTGCCACTTTGCAGGTGGAAAGTCTCACATTCACTATCTGTCATCTCTAATAAAAAGACAGCAGTGATGTGGCTCAAGTCCCTGGAAACTGAAGTAAATCAGAATGATTGGCTAAAATAAAGTTGGATAGTTCGTGGTCTAGCATCTTATTTATTATGTATACCAGGTCCTTACCTATCATAACATGGTTTATTTCTTTGCATATAACATATTATATAAATGTAGCAATTGTGTTTTCTTCACCCAGTTCACATTAGTGTGCAGTTTCCAACTAATCATTGAGTACAGACAGTTGTGAACTAGATGAATAATTTGAACAGATATTTGTTCAGAAAACATCTCCTTTATGCTAAATATTGCTGATAGCAATATTTTATTTCCATTTATTTATAACATTTGTAAGGCACCTCAATTTATTATGACTGAGTGGCTTACAAAGATGCAACTATGAAAAAATTATTTTTTTTCTTTCCTGAATAATTTCATATTACTTGATCTTTAGGCATTTTCTGCTTTCTACTATGTAATGAATTTTCTAAATGTGACCGAAAAACCTATGGACCAAGTGATAGAAACAGTGAAGAACTTTTGTTCCAAATCCTGGAATGAGGTATGTCATTTTTTCAAACAAAAAGATCATGGATCTTGACTCATAGATCTGCGAGTGCAGTGGTGGGATTCAAATATTTTTACTACCGGTTCTGTAGGCGTGGCTTGGTGGGCATGACAGGGGAAGGATACTGTAAAATCTCCAGTCAGAGGTGGTATTTGCTGGTTCTCCGAACTACTCAAAATGTCCGCTACTGGTTCTCCAGAACTGGTCAGAACCTACTGAATGCCATCTCTGAGCGAGTGGCCTCCAATTAGTGCTAATTGTATGAGATTAGTTCCGCTTGATTTTCCAACTCAGTAATCAAAGCAGGGGAAGGGAAATCTCTAAAATCCATTTATCCTACAAACCTAGAGTCCTCATGGCATGTGAAAAGGTTGTTCATTTGAAAACAGACAGATGAATTGTGATAGCTCCAAGGATTAATATTTATGTGGAAGACAAAGTGCCTCAGTCTTTATAAAAGAGGAGGAAAGTCAAAGAAATAAACTTGTTTCTTTTTTCTCTGTCTAGGTGAAAGTCGAATTTCCTGAGATAAAAGAGAAATACTTGAGCGAATACTGTTTCTCAAGTACATATATTATCTCCCTGCTCGGTCAGAGATATAACTTCACTAAGGAAAAATGGCAGAATATCCACTTCCTAGAGAAGGTATCTTTAACATTCAGTGGTGGAAATTAAGGAGTGGTGGTGGAGATTTATTTTAGAAGCTCACAAAAACTTTACAGTCTAAAATTAATCATTTGGTTAAAAATCTTTTACACTAAGAATATATGGAAGGAACCAAAGACAAGTGCAAGCTACAATAAAAATGTATTCATAAATCTGCAAAAGACATCCAGAGATAAGACTATTTACATTTCATAGGACAAGGTAATCTACAGTGTTGGTACAGCAATTGAAAAGCCTTATTATCCCTTACCATGTCTCACTCAGGTGTGATACAGAGGACGGTTTCTAGTATTTTATGAAGCAGGTAGATCAATATGGAAGGAGGTTAAGTGCAATATCATGAGCACAAAGTATTAAGAACTTTGAAGGCCAGGGATAACTCTTTGAATGGATTCACACAACATGCTTATCTTGGCTGTTGAATTTTCTGAAAATTTTCTGGTTGTTCATAATTTATAGAATCATAAGCTAACTAAAAGGGCCACCTTGGCCCTTATGTAATTTCATAAAAAGTAACCAAGCTTAAAACCAATGAATTTAGCAAAATAGTGTGAATTCAGTTGCTAAACCTTTGATTGACTTGGTTAAACTTATTATGCAAACCTAGCCACTGAATTGTTGGAGAAAGTTGCATGTGAGCCAGTTTGTTCTACTGGTTAAGGCTCCAGGCTCAAAAGCAGGAGGCTGTGAGTTCCAGTCCCATTTTAGGCATGAAAGCTGACTGGGTGACCTTAGGCCGATTACTCACAGCCTAACTCACCTTACTGTTGCTGTTGTTCTGGGAAAAATAGGAGGAGGAAGGAATACTAGATATGTCCATGCTTTGAGTTGTGTATACAAATAATAAAGGTGGAATATAAATAATAAATAAATCAATTTAAACAATGAAGTGTTTGAACCACTTTTCCTGGAGTTGTTTGATATATCGTTGAGTGATTCTTCTTGTCTCCTTCATTTCAGATTGAAAACAGTGACGCAGGATGGACACTGGGCTATATGCTAAACCTTACCAACATGATCCCTGCAGAACAGCCCTACACACGCCTCTTGTCTCACACAGGTTTTATCAGCTTCATTGTCATCTGCTCTGCTCTAGTAATGACTCTGCTCTTAGTAGGCTGGATTATATATCATAAACCAAAGTGCCTGAGAAAGGAAATAATTTAAGATGCAGAAGGACATTAGACACATCGATGGAAACATCAGGGGTTGTCAAGATCAGGGGTTGTACTTTCCTACTCTGCTCTGCTGAAATACCTAGTTTATATGAGAGCTTTCTGGACCATTTGCTCCGGCACCAACAGATGCCAAAACAACAGCATGATACCATTCTCTTCATCTCCCTCAGATTGAAGATTCACTTTTCATACTACCCTAATTGAGGGTTGATAAATTCTTGCATGTTGTATTAAAACAAAACCCCACTTCTCTCAGGTATGCCACTTCATACATTGCTTTGGTCCTGGAAATATAGTACAGGGACATCCAGTCAGATGGCCTGAACACTGCAAGGACTAACTTATACCAATAGCTGCAGCTGCTCTCAGATCATGTGTTTTCTTTTATCCTACTGGGGAAAAAACACAAGCATTCAGAAATACCACCTACTACCATCTACTAGTTTTGAAGTAGTCCTTTATCAGAATTGTGATAGTATTTGTATTATTTCATTGTAGTAGTATTTGTAATAATTCATCTGTGAAAGAGGTTGAAAGTGCAAACCTTTGACAATAACTTATCAATTGCTGGGAGAAGAAGGGAAGAGTTCTCTCTACTAAAAGCTAAAGAATAAAATGCAGCTTATGAATTTGCAGCTTGACCAGAAAAAGGAGCAGTAAATTATTCCTGATGTGTAACAGTTGGTACCTGAGTAACAGGCCTTGCACTGATGAGCTGTTCGTGAAGTGTTTGGATTCACTGTCAGCTGCCTTATGTAAGTTATATAGTTCTTGGGCACTGAGGTTTGATTTCACACTTTATATTATCAAAATCCATTGGTATTATTATTCAAAACCTATACGAGGAAGAGGGAACCAAACCCTTTGCAACTGAATTCATATGCTTGCAATGCAGAAGTTCTTAAGGGTAAAACCTGTGGAAAAAGAATTCCTTCTTACAAGCACCAAAAGAATGTTCCTAGGAAAAAACTAAATATGGTTTGATTTGCACTGAGGTTTTAACATAAATTAGGAATACAGGTAGTCCTCGATTTACAACAGTTCATTTAGTGACTGTTCAAACTTACAACGGCATTAAAAAGTGACTTATGACCATTTTTCACACTTACGACCAATATAGCATCCTCATGATCACATGATCAGAATTCAGACACTTAGCAATCGGTTCATATTTATGATGGTTGCCGTGTTCCTGGTTCATGCGATCAACTTTTGCAACCCGCTTGACAAGCAAAGTCAATGGGGAAACCAGATTCACTTAACAACTGTGTTTCTAACTTAACAACTGCAATGATTCACTTAACAACTGTGGCAAGAAACTTTATAAAATGGGGCAAAACTCACTTAACAAATGCCTCACTTAGCAATATAAATTTTGTACTCAATTGTGGTCATAAGTCGAGGACTACCTCAAAGCATTTCCAGCGTTCCTATAACAAATGAGCCAGTCTGTTAATCTAGTCTGTCTACTGATTAGCAAACCTAAGTTATCCTCTGGTAACATTACTGATCCAGCAACATTTGAAAAGATCTTTAATCAGCAGACAACCTGCCTGTACATCTGTGCCACTCTTGCTATTTGCTCAGGATAGCAATGTTCCTGCCAATCTCAACTCTTCTGGAGAACCAGACCAGTGAAATAAGCTGTCATCCACCAATAATCATGGCTTTAGTTAGGGAAGATTCATGTGAACAGAGCTGATACAGTAGGGAAAAAAGGTAAAAGCCAGTTTGGCATAGTGGTTAAGATACCAGGCTAGAAAGTAGAAGACCATGAGTACAAGTCTCACCTTAGCCATGAAAGCCAGCTTGGTGACTTTGGGCCAGTAACTCTCTCTCAGCATAACCCACCTCACAGGATTGTTGTTGTGGGGAAAATAGGAGGAGGAAGATGTGTGTGATATGTTTGCCACCTTGGGTTATTTGTAAAAATAATAAAGGTGGGATAATTAAATAAATGCATACATGTGGTCAAGCAGATTTTTCACCCACCAGCTATCCACTTTTCAGAAGATTAGATTTATCTTGTGTTGCATATTAGATCAAACCTGAGAGTTTAAATGGTAGAATCACATGGTGGAAAATATGGGGAGATAATCACAGATCCAGAGGCTGACAGTTGATCTGGCAGACATCTGATACTGGCATTGGAGGAACTAGGAACTAGGATAGATAAAGATAATTTTCATGCTGTTTGGTTAATTTAAGGAATCTGCTTTTATTTAATCCATAATTATAGAAATATAAAAATAGAATATAGAAACATTATTTAACGTAATGAAGAAGTGATTTAAATATGTTAAGCATTGGTCTATTTAGGGCATGCTTTTCTTAAACTATAGTAGCTTTTTTTCATTTCTTAGTTATAAACCATATTTTATAAACTATAGTGTCTGAGATGACACATTGTACTAAGTCATAACATGGCACGCTTTGCCTTCATACAATGTATAACTCTAAAATTGGCATGAATTTTAATGGCCCTTATTTAACACAAAATGTTTTTCAACAATATGGTTCCCACCTCAGGAATTTTATTTCAAACAAGTATACTTTTGACAAGTAATGACATGGATTACCCTTTAAAAGAGTTTGCAAAGAAATGAAAGAAGATAGTATTTAAAATCTGATGAACAGAAGTAATAGTATGCTTCAATAGAACTTGGATGAGAATTCTGAATCAAGTATGAAACATGCTCATGCCAGACTCACATTTATGCCCGGTAAGTATTGACCACTTTTATGTGTCAGAATTGTTGGGAATCTTGCCTTAGTGAGAATAAGCACATAATGCCACATATTCACATGCCAATTACTCAAAACAAGCATTCATTTTGCACTAATTTTTTAAAAGCTTTTTTACTAGTCACCAAATGTATTCATGTTAGTGAGTTGGTTTTCTAAATGAGTTGCATTTAAACTCATTCATCTTTGCACATTCAAAGCCTTCCTTAGTTAAAATATAAACTAAATGAATAAAAATAAATAAATGTTTTACCTACTTCCAGCTATTTTGAAATTTTAATGGGGGAAAAATCAGTTGACATTCAGTATTTTTCTGCCTTACTGGTTGGAGTGAGATAGTCATAAAAACAAGTAACAATCTCCTTATTTCTGCCAGTCTGATACTATTCAGATGTGCTGGACTACAATCTCCATCATCCCCAGCTAGCATATCCAGTCCTCTTGTTGAAAAGATGGTGGCACTGATAGTCCTACATTCCTGGAAGGCCCCATGATTGGGGAAAGCTTGTCTACCTCTTCATATTGATCCTAGTTAATAAGTGTCTGTTATTCTTTTTTGATTTAATCTGTCCAAATTACACAATGTATTAGGTTCCTTTTCCTGTTACTGGGGTTGCTGCTGAATTCATACTCTTTAAGAGACTGATTTGCAAGAATCCCAACTGTAGGCATATGGTGGGAAGGGAATTAAGAGCAAGGAATGTATAGTATATTAATAAACATCTGTGTCTGGTAGCCCTCTTGGCTGCACGCTTGGAGGAAGAATAATTCAGCACAGGTGATGCTGGGAAGCTGTCACATATTTCCTGAAAATAGTTTAAACCTTGTCTTGTCTTTCCTGTCCAAAAGAAACAAATATTCACTTTATACACGTGTACATCTCTGTATTTATATGGCATATTAAAAATGTTTTGATTAATGTCATTGGTGTTTGTCCATTATTTCCCAAATGAAGGAAGAGAACAGCATGGCAAGAGAAACAACTTTCTCAATTAACAGCATCTACTTAGTTAGATAAGGGTCAATGGTACTACTTCTCTTGTGGCTATGTAGGGATTCTAGGCTGACTCCCCTTTTCACTCCACCTCCAGGTTCTGCCATTACCAAATGGGTCAAATTGTGTAGGAGAAGGGATTCTCCTATACAATTTGACCCAGAAAGTAATACCAAAAATGCCCAAACATGGGATTCCAGCAGTTTCACTGGTTACAGATTACAATCTCACTGATGCATTCCAGAAGCTTACATTGAATTTAATGAGACTGTCTTATCAACATTCCTGCTCATTTCCCTGAAACACAAAAATTATGGAGATTGTTCTGCTTAATTAAGGGATGAATTAGGATAAATTATTTCTTATAAATTAAGCCCTCATATGCAGTAAGACAGTATTGAGATAATAAAACAATATTTCATACTGCAGGTATAAAAATCACAAGTTTAATACTCTAGAAAAAATATATTCAATAAAAAATCAAATACAGAAAAGGAGATTAACATTCTTGCCAGATGCAACTCAAACCTTAACTGTTCATTTATTCTGCATTTTGTTCATCATCACTGATTCAGCTATCTTCTTTTATCCCTTAGGCAGAGCAGAAACCTGAGTCAAAATAGGAATGAACCAGAGCTAAACAAATGGATGTTTCAGTTCAAGATTTGGTCAACTCCTTTCAATGGTTTTACAAATTAAATAATATAAATGGGTGCCTCCTTTGAAATGATTGAAAAGTGATTTAGAGATTTGATGACTGGGTTTGCCAAGTCTTAGTATTATTGCTTCTTTCTTCCAAAAGGAAAAAGGAAAGAGGGAGATGAAAAATCAGAAGCGGGTCTGGTAGCAGCTTTTCAGATTAATAATTTTTTTAAAGATGTAAAATTTCATAGTTGGGAAGGGAAAACAGGGTTTTTATGCAGATACAGGATACATGTGACAAAGATTGCAATTACCTTATAAATTAACCAGTATGGTATGTTAAAAACCCATTTGTGTTGAGATCATATGAAGTAGTCTAAACTAAAATATGAGTTTCTTTGTTCCAAAGTATGTGTTGGGGTCTCATGGAAATTTTATACTCTGACATTACTTTGTTCTTATTTGAGCCCGTTATCAAACTTATATCTCTTAAGCATTTTGCATAAACTCTGACATGTTTGTCCTACACAGAATTCAGAGAAAATTGTTGGCAGATGATGGCATATATAACATTAGAGGAAGAACGTATGAAGATACCTCACTGTTGTGTGAAATTGTTGATGTTTGTGTTGGTGTAATTGGGTTTGTTTTAGGGGGTGGTTCCAATGTTAGCATCACTGTTTTGTTGTTGCTTGTTATTTGTGAGAATTTCCTTCAAACTAAATGGTTGATGGTAGGCAAGTACAGGTCTATCAAGTGCCTAAGAAATGTTGACTTCCGGTTTGGGCTTCTTCGGCAATGGACTGAAATCGCGATCGTCCTCAGTTTTGATCCATGCTTGCCACTGGAGCTCCCCGAGCCGCCCAGATTCGGGGCTGAAGCCACCCTGTAGAGATGGTAAAGAAGGGGGAGCTGTCAGCGGGATTGAGGAGAGCTGCATCTCTCCTCCCCAGCTGGCCATTACTCCCTTTCCCAAAGGCGGTTGCAGCGGTGGTCAGAAGAAAAAAAGCAGCAGAGGGAAAAAGGGTGGAATCAGGAAAATGGAGGAGACCACCTGGAACTTAAAAAAATTGATAGTGGAATTTTAACAAGGCTTGCAAAAGATACATTGTAGCTGAAACTTTGTTACAAGAGAACAAAGCTCCTGGAAAGAGAAAGCAAGAAAATAAACAAGAAACAGTTTTGGATTATTGGATGATTCCTGGAACTTTGGATGGAGGATCCTAATGAAATAAAATAAAAACAACTGGGGGTTGTTTAAATTTTTTTTAAATGGCATCACTCCTTGAAGAGTTAAAAATGAGACAAAGAACAAAAAGAAGAAGCACAAGACGGAAGACGATCTTTTGGCTTCGTATTTCAATTTTTAGAAATGGAGATCTTGAACTATGAAAAACAACAAGATTTATGTTTTATGTTTTGTTTGTTTGTGTATTGTCTTTGAAAATCAATAAAATTTGTTTTTTTTAAAAAAGAAAAACAACAAGAAATGCTGGCAGAACAAGAAGGGCGGGACAACGAAGAACCATCTTCAATGACCAAGCAATCTTAAGTGGGGTAAAAAGGGGAAAGCGGGGAAAGGGAGTTAAAAACTTAAGTACTGAAGCAACAACCAAAAAAAAGAGTAATTTGAAAAGTAATCATAATACCAGGAAGAAGCAAAAGGGAGGATCACAGAAGGGAGAATCAGATAGAAAAGGGAATAAAAAGGGGAGGGAGAAGAAAGGGAAGAGGGAAAGGAAAAGAAGCTACAAAATACAGAA